TTATTTTAATATATGTAATAAATTAAAATATATTTTAATATATGATTGCTTAAAATTATGAAAAGTAAAAGCATTAAATTTGAAAATAAAATGCTAAACAAGGTTTAGCATTACACTTACTTTAGCACACAAACAAATTTAAACACCTACAGTGAAGCTCCCGAGTTTATCAAATTGTCATGTTAAAAGTAAATCCATAACAAATAACGGTCAAAATGAATTGCTTTTGGTCCCTTTTAATCATATTTCTAATAATTAATAAAAACATAATCATTTACCTTTTCATGATCAAAAAAACATTTTCTCTTGGCTTTCCACCACCAACCTTTTTCAAACTATCAAGCTGAAATAAATGTAATAAAAACTAGTGTAACTTAAATTTCTTTACAACATATTGAGTCTAACACAAGCTAGTTATTTTAGTTCATATACAAATACTTTTCATTTAGATTCTAAACTAACAAACCAAATTTAAACTAACTTATTAAAAATTAAGATAATTAGATTATGCTAAATTAGTATACTCGGTTTTATCTTTTAGTTTATTATCCAGTGTAACCACTTCGTCCACTGATTCTAGCAACTTCACTCCAGTAGCCTGAAACTTAATTTCTATAACTTCTTTTAAAAGAACTTTTATTTCTGCAAGCTCCTTGAGAATAACATTTTGCATCTCTACAAACAAGAATAAAAAAATATTGATTAACATATTTAGCTCATAAAACCAAATAGCAAAACAATGAAATAAGAACTTTAAAATTCAAATTATGCTTGAGTAACTCAAACTAAAATTCAAAAAATACATGTAAGTTTTTTTATTACTCCATCGCAGAAGTTGCCATAATATTTTGGAAAACCTACTTTTTAAATCAGCTAAAACTTTATCCTGTAAAAGGTTACGATATTAAAGAATTTTGTTTAACTACTAAAGGTAAAATGCTACACACATGATTTATTGGATCACAATATTATAAATAATCCATTTCTATTCTTTTATACCTATCTTTTACAATTATTTTAATACAAAAACAAATTAATAAAAAAGATCTCTACATTAACATTCAGTGGTGTAAAACCAAAAATACTCATATTAAAACTTGAAACTCTTTGACAATGTGAACTTTACTTGGTTTTATTCTGTTCATCGATAAAATGTGAATAAAAATTATCTTCTTCAATCTTTGAATCTGATAACAACTCTATTCAAAAGAAATAATTATAATTAGAACTATAAATAATCCCTCAACCATACCCGACGGGCATTTTTTTTAAAAGTTACGATCTAAATGTATTTTAAATGTCTTTTAAACGTCTTTTAAACATTAATGTTTAAAAGACGTTTAAAAGACATTTAAAACACATTTAGAACGTAACTTTAATAAACAAATGCCCGTCGGGTACCTGTTACTTAATTTAATCTTTCAACCAATTTTGTACTCTTTCAATTTCTGAATTTAAACAATTTCAGCATGCTTTCAATCAATTTTCAATTTTCATAGTTTAATAAAATTTACAGTTTCTTAAGAAAGTTTTTTTTTTGAGTTTGATTAAATGGTTTTACTATGTATGTTAGTATATTTAACTATACTAATTTTATATTAAATAGATATAAAATATATATTTTTAATCTATATATATATATATATATAAAAGCAACCTAAAATAATTTAGTTTTTTTGCTTGTTACGCTCTCGTTATTGGAGGTTTTTAAACCATCAAAATATTGTTTGAAATAATAAAAGAAAAAAGATTGCTGCCCCATGCCAAAGCCTCAGTTGATGTAGCAGCACTTCCTTTTAGCAGCAGGCTATATGATAGTTGATGTAGCAGCACTCCCTTGTAGCAGCAGGATATAAGATAGTTAAGGAATGTAGTGAAGCCAAAAATATTCTTTTTTATATTAAAAAGTCACCACTTTAAGCATGTCTCTACGCGAGATCACAACAAGCAAAAAAATAAATTATTTTAGGCTGCTTAACTGCAGATTTACCGCTTTTTAACAATCCATATGATTCAAAGGGTTTGACACTTGAATTTCAATATAATTTTCACTAAGCAGTTATATAATGTATAAGTTAAAGTTGTATTTTTCTGTAAGTTATTTTACACTAACAAATATTTTATGTATGAGTATAAAAAGTGTTGTTTTAAAAAATAAATTTTTCCAGTTTAAAAAGTATAGTTGAGCAAGCAAAATGTACATCCGAGCTGTTTGGATATGGGGCCATCCATAAAGTACGTACGCAGTAAAACCACTGATTTAGGACCCCCCTCCCCCCTTGTACGCACTTGTATGCTTTCAACGACCTCCCCTTCCCCTTCTGCGTACGTACGCATTTTTTATTACAAGTTTAGGCTCTCCTCCCCTTCCTTCCCCAACGCATTAATTTTTCAAAACATTAAACACAAAAAAACATTTTGTTAATTTCTCTGTGCTTAATTAAAAACCGGAAAGTTATTTGTTAATAACTTTCCAGTTTTTGTTAAAAAAAGAAAAATATTCTAAAAAAGAATTCTTGTTGCGAGTATTTATATTTCATATTTCCTCAAATGGTGACTTAAATAAATCAAATATGTTATCAAATACAGGCATGAACTCTGCTTCCACACTTTTATAATCAATCTCCTCACTGATATCTTCACTTTTATTAATAGATTCACTGTCACTTACACTATCCTCACTCTCCATTTCAACCGTGTTTTTTTTTTGTGTATGTGCTTTCTTGTGCCGTTTCATTGCAGCCTCGCTTGGCCAGTATTCATTGCACTTGTCGCAAATTCCGTTTGAGAGCTTTTCCTTTAACGATGGGCAATACAGATCAAATGGTATAATTTTGTATTTTAATCCTTCTATAGGTATATCATGTAGCAAAAGTCGATGTGTCAGTGGTGCAAACGTTGATTGTTTTGATACGTTTTTAAAATATCGAGACGGTTCCATTGCTTTGTAACCATTCTCGCAGTATTCGTAGATTGCCGGAAATGGAATGAAACGTTGGGGGAAGTTTTTCAGCCAGTTTGTTTCAAACGGTGTGCAACCTGACTCCTCATGGCATTTTACGATTTGTAGGCTGTATCGCGATTGCTGACAATGTTTGTCTACCCAAACAGGATCTGGAATTGGTGGTTCATATGCTTTCCCAACTGGTACAGCCTGGCAATGAACAGGATACCCGTCAATGACGGTTTTCTCCCAAACTTGGGATAAAACGTCAGCCGCTTTTTGAAAGTTCTCTACCTCCAATTCATAGTCGATTGTTTTTCCAGAAGAATCAAGGTGATTGCCAAAAAAATCATGAGGAAGGACTATTCCAGCCAAATCACGAGAAAGAGGTGCCATTCTTCGTTCTACGGGGTTAAAGGCTGAAAGGCCAGCTGCATTCACACCATGAAGAAAGGCATCTAAATTAAGCAAGCGAAAGAGGTCAACAGCAGTTGCTAAGGTTTTAGGGAAACGTGGTGCTTCATCCTGAGCTCCATCAGTCTCCATTAACATAATTGGTCTACGTTTAACCAACTCGGTTTTAAAAAGCTCTCTAACATCAAAAGCATGTGTAAAAGCATTTGATGTATCGTGTTTCGCACTTCTTATGCGTATGAAAGTGTCCCCACTGTATGATACATTTCCAGTATTGTTAACTTCGCATACGCCATACACTGATGGGATCAATTTGTGCTGTGAGCTAACGACAAAATCGTGATCCATGAGTTTGACCTTGTATTCCATATGCATCAGCAACGGCGCTTGAAGGCTTGCTGCAGCAATACCCAATGGGACCCTGGCTTTATCATCGTTGGAAATGAAAAGCACAGCTTTTGGTCCAAACAATTTGCAAACTTCGAACATGTCGTCAATGAATGATTTGGCAAACATTCTATCGTCATTTTTTTTTCGCATTGAGTTTTCTGGACGTAACAGCTTTACTGGAACTGTGCTGACATGTTTTTTTCCTTCAGAAGTGTTTCCACGTCGTGGTAAAAGACGAAGGTACAAACCACTCCTACTCAAGGTAAAGCCTATCTTTGTCAACTCTTCCTGAAGGTCATCTAAAGTGGAGACGCTACGGAGACATTCTGTTCTTTGACGTTCGTCAGCTGCTGATAAATTTTGCACAATTTTTATAATTGTTGATAAAAGCTCTGGTTGGTCAACTTCGAGACGCGGTCGTCCAGTAAGGTTTCGACTAAACTGTTTCAAAGCACTTGATGCTTCAGGGATGTTCTGACACACAGTTTCGATGCTCTCTTTAAGTTTTTGTCTTCGTTTTCTTTGACGAGCTGATTCACGAATCAATCTGAAAACGGAATATCAGTAAAGCTTTGATTCCGTTATAAAAACTTCTATACTTAAGGTTTCGCAACTTTTGGCTAATGTTGCAAAAGAAAAAGTACGCAAATTCTTATTTCAAATAAGAAAGTATTATTTACAATAAGATTATGAAAGTTTCTGTCTTTGAAAATGTTTGGTTTTTATAGCCAAGACGCTTTTCTTTACGCATAAATAAACTCTGTATTATTTAACATATATCTCTTGATATTTACTAGAAACCTGACAGTTAAGCATTCTAAAATGAAATATCAAATAAAGAAATACATAACTAAATTATCTTACCTGTCCAATTTTGTTTTTTCTTTTCTTATGGTTTCTTTCACAGTGTTTATTTGTTCCTTTGTTACGGTAGATAAACCAGAATCACGTACGACTATCAAGGATGCACGTTGTGATTCAAGATCTGAGATTTTCTTTCGACTCCTAACTTGTGCCGGATTTTCTCTTTTTTTTTGTTGTCTGTTAAATCTAAATTAAAAAATGCCAAAAAATAAGCTATTATAAATTCTTGACAATTACTACTAATCAATTTATTTTGGATATAGAAAAATAGGTCTAGTGGTCAACATTATAAATTTCTGTGACTGCTCTAAGGTCGTACGATGTAGTTTGATTTACAATACGGTTAAACTCAGTAGGCCGGGTGAATAAAAAAGAGCAATTGCTTTTACTCAGTAATTGTTCAGTTTTACGTGAATAAAAAATTGAGCAATTATCCTCAAATTTCTATTTACGTAAAGTTGAGCGTTGTTGGAGTAAATTGTTCAGCTTTACGTGAATAAAAATTTGAGCAATCTTGGTCAAATTTTTATTCACGCAAAGCTGAACAGTTACTGAGAAAAAGCAATTGCTCTTTTTTATTCACCCGGCCTAATGTATAGAAAATCACAAGAGAGAAAAAGTTTTTAAAATATTACAGAAATTAGCTTACTAATTTCAATCCTTGCAGGCTCTGTCGTAGTTGCATTTAGGAAACTTCGTGTTTCATTTGACGAAGACGGCGCTGGATGGATATCTTTTTTCTTTTTGCTAGGTGGTGAAATGGTATTTCCCCAGAATGACATAAGTGATACTTTCGACTTTGTTA